TAAAACCCACGAAAATCTGACCTAAACCAGGAAAAGCAGAGAAAAAAGAAATTATGTGGAATAAATCGCTAATAGAAGACATGTGACATTTAAAAAATCATAAGAGAATATTCTATAGGACAGCATGGCCACTAATGCCAAATATCAAATGGAACAGATGATTTCATGAAAAGGACATTCAACCAAAACTGTCGTCATTGGATACAGAAGTTGACTAACAGCATGGATGAATAAAATCCTAAAAACACCAAAGAAGAATACAAAACCCTTATGGAATGTCCCAGGAGAATCATTTAAGTGTTTTTGTTTTTAGGAAATGAAGAAGCATGCACATACACACACACACACATGTTTTCTACCCATCGGTTTACCACAGAAATGTCTGCTACAGAAACTAGAAATCATTAACTCTGTTCATCGCTCTTACATGGCTGGCTGGTATCTGAGGACTAGAGACATTAGCAAATACCACCCAGAATATAAATTAGCCAGGCTTTAAATATTTAAAAAAATCACTCTCATTCATGGTAGGTTTCAAAAGGCAATCTCAATACAGCACCACTTATTCTTCAGGATTCATTTTCTTTACAATAGGAGCTGAAAACGTCTTTTAAAATTAATACCAAATGACAGTCTTAATGATTTTTTAGAAATAAGATTTAAATTTGCCAAATAATTTCTTAAAAAGATAAAACATGCATACTTCAAAAGCCAATGTCTTAGTAAGTATCATCAGAATTTTCATTAAGGCATAGACAAAAAACTGTACTTGCTATTCCGGCTACTTCATAATAATGTAAGAGAAGTATTAGCCAATTTAAATTCTGCAAGAATAACAGTAAGTCATATGATAGGAAAGTGTAGCAAGTGGCTTCTTAGCAACCAGAAATGAACAGCTTCCCTATATGCAAAATACATCCTCTAGATACTATACAAGAGAAAGTCCTCTTTATGATTCTAATGTAGAGCTTATTTGAATATTATTATGAATTTGAAATGTGTGTGAATGGAAATACACAAAGCCTTGTAGTATGACAATATTTCATCATTTCTGGAAGGCCTTGAAATAGAATTGAACAAATGAGAATCTATACAGTCTATCTATCTGTCTATTTGAAAGAGTGATAGATTAAGAGTGGGACATCTGCGGGTTCCCCTCTCAAATGACTGCAATGTGGGAGTCAAGTTGAAGTCAAGAGCCTGGAATTCCATAAGATGTAGATGCGTGGTAGAGAACTTATTGCATGGACCATCAACCACTGCTTTCCTTGGAGCATTGTTTTGGAGCAGGATCAGAAACAACAGAAAATACTCACTCAAACTACACTGGATAGGTGATGCTGGTCACAATGGTTGATTCACATGGCTGGCTGTTTCCCTGAGCATAGTGATGATCAGACTCTACCTCCCTACCGGCTCTCTGGCTCACATTCCATATATATCAAGGAGGAAAGAGGGTGGGTGAGGAAAAACACACACACACACACATACATATATATATATATATATATATACACACGCATAAACACACACATATATACACACACATAAACACATAGGTATATAGCCATGCATATACATGTATTTATATATTCACATAAATACATAGGTATATATAATCATATACATCTATATACATATATGCATATTTTCCCTCCAGTGATGTCCTTTAAGCTAGCTTTGTAATCACAGGCTTAACACTGTAAGAAGTGCAGCGACTAGCAAAGGTTAAAAAAATGTTCCTCAAGAGAATACACAGTGTACAAAATGATCGACTCTCAAAATATCAATTCCATATTGAATGATTTTTTATATATATTTTAGGTATAACAGATTAGAAAAACCATGGTATTTGTCTTATGGGGACTGGTTTATTTTACTAAGTTTGGTAGTTTCCAGTTACATCCATTTTGGTGCAAAAGACAAGATGTCATTCTTTTTAAGGTTAAACATGATTTCATATTATAGACGGACCACATTTTGTTTATCCATTAGTCACTTTCTGGACATCTGGGTTAATCCCATATCTTAGCTATTGTCAATTGAGTTGCAATAACAATGAGTACTGATAACTCATTATATGCTTATTTCCTTGCCTTTGAATATATTCCCAAGCATGCAATGCCTGAGGCATATGGTAAATCTATTTTCAGTTTTCTGAGAAATCTCCATTCTATTCCAAACTGGTGCACTAGTTACATTCTCACTAAATGTAGATTAGAGTAACTTTTACCCACATCCTCTCTGTATTGTTTAATGATTTCCACCTGATGGCCATTCTGTCTGGAATGAAGTAAAACCTCATTTTCACTTGAATTCCACAATGGCTGGAGAACTTGAGCAGTTTTTCTATGTTGGCTGTTTGAATTTCATCCTTTAAGAAATGCCTGTTACATCTGTTGCACATTTCTAACTGTGCTTTTTGTTTTGTTGATGTTGAGTCTCTTGGGCTCCTGGTAGATCCTGGGTATTAATCCTGTGTCACTTGCAGAGTTTGCAAATATTTTCTCCCGTTCTTTTAGCTGCCTCTTTACTTGCTGATGGTTTTCCTCCTGGTAAAGAAGCTGTTGGAAGGGAGGAAAGAAAAGTGAAATTCGACAAAAGAATGAGCAATGTGTTGGCATGTGAGTGAAGTCATCAGTTAACCCCGTATACAACTCTTGCCTAGAAAGGCCCTTAAAAACTCAGGAGAAGATCATGCTTCTATATTGGTCTGAATGTATTTGGTTTGGGGATTATCCTTGAGAGAGGGTTGATCTTAGGTGAAGACGGTTCTCTCAGTGTTTCAGTCCGTTGCAAGTGTTCTGACAAATTGTGCATGTTCTGATACACACAATGGCTCAAATAAAAGGCACTCCTCACAATTCTGAGGCTAGAAAGTGTATAATCATAATGCCATTTATTTATTTTCCAGCGACAGTTCTCTTTCTGGTTGCAGATGGTGATCTTCTTACAGTATCCTCAAAAGAAAGAGAGAGGGGGGAGTGGAAAGGGAAAGCGAGGGAGAGAGAGAGAGAGAGAAAGAGAGAGTGCCAGAGAAACAATAGGATGCTGGATTTTCTACCATTGTTAATGCCTGCAAAGTCATGACACATTAAAATTACAGCATGTTAGATTGTCAAAGTTGCTGAAATAATATACTATTGTAATAATATGAGGGGAATCTTGGTGGTGGCAATGGTAAGGCTAGAAGGTGAAATCCCTGAGCCTTAGATCATGAAAATATTTTTTTAAAGGAAGAGAACTGTTATATCCTGAGGGCTACACCCTTTTTTATTTAATTACCATGAAAAGTCTCCTCTGAATATCAACACATTCCAGAATTAGAACTTCAGATTTTGAATTTGCAGGTGAGAGAACACGGCCATAAGTGTTCAGTGTATGCCACTGGACATTCCCCAGTGACCAAGAGCTAATTACCCTCCTCCAGTGGTGCTTTTAATCACAAGCAATGTGGGTTCTTCATCCCTCTTGAAAATGCTGCTTGGCACACTGCAGTATCCATCCACACCAGTATGCCTCTCATACAACATTGGCTAAATATTGAACTATACTTTCTGTAACATGTTCCCTTGAAACAGGTACTTGTGTGCATTACTGGTAGATGTACAAAATGAAACTCCCTTTATGGAAGGACATATCCTAACAATAAGCCCACGTTTCACTGCTGGTGGAACTGCAGGCTAGTACAACCAATATGGAAATCAATATGGGGAGTGCTTAGAGAATTGCAAATAAACCTGGCATATGACCCAGCTAAACTGCTCCTAGGAATATACCCAAAAGAAATTAAAACTACGTATGAGAGGAGGATCTGTAATCCTATATTTACAGCAGCACAATCTACACAGCAAAGGCAAGGAAACAACCCAGATGCCCATCCAAAGAGGAGTGGATAAAGAAACTGTGATACATCTACTCCACGGAATATTATTTAGCCATTAAAAAGAATGAAATTAAACAATTTGCAACTAGATGGTCCCAACTAGAGACCATCATGCTCAGTGAAATAAGTCAATCCCAAAAAGACACATACCATATGTTCTCTCTAATATAGGGAATCCATCTCGCACATTGAAATGTGTAGTGGTGGGATAATGGAGACTACCATATCCAGATGTGAAGACACAATGCAACATGCATCTCTACTTCCAAACAAAACAAGGACTCCCAATGAAAGTGTTGAACATATCTAAACAGTGGGATAATGAACTGTCTGATGTTGTCCATTCCAGCAATGTCAGGACACACTTAAATAGCAGACGGATGGAATTATAACTCCTTATGAAGAAATGTACTGTTGTGACAATATGGGAAAAATCTATCAGGAAGTGGAAATTAGGGGAGGAGAATCCCAGACTATACAGAATTAAGTGATAAGTTTCAAAAGTTAAAATAAATATTTTTAAAGGATAAATCCACATCTGTTAAGTAAATCAACAAATATGTATTTTATCATTGAAAACCAGTTAACTGAATTGTGCTACATGCAGGTGATGGATGGCTGTACCAGAAGAAATGAGATGCACAATGGCTTCTATCAGCAGAAAAGAGCTAGTTCCCCACGCTCTCTGTCTCCCTCAGATCTGTATATGTTTGTATGTTTAGGTTTACAGCCATATACATTTATATTCTTGTGGAATTTAATGAAATCACAGCTATTATTATAACACATATGGTAATGGTTAAAGAGCACTAAATTATTTTGGAACACCATTTACTCTGGGAAACTGACATTAGTACAGGGCACCATGGGCATGCCCACCTGACAAAGCTTTCCATATGGCTTTTCTGTGGCATGAGATAAACATACTGTCTTGTGTGAGTCTGCATTTACAATAGTGTATATGGATGCTTAAGATTTAAACAGGAAACAGAATGTCAGCTGAAAATTAAAGGACTAGAAGTAGTCCAGGCAGTTAATTTTTTTTGTTTGTTTGTTTAGGTAGAAGATGCTCTTTAAATAAAAAGAAAAATCAACGCTGTCTATCTCTTTGCAGAGCAAAAGTGAACAAATTACTGTGCGGCATCTGACATCAGGAAACTGGGAAGTGACCAAGATCTTGGCGTATGATGAACATACTCAAAAAATGTGAGTGTTTTTGTTGCTCTGGTCAGGCTGGGACTCGGGTAAGCTGTCAAATGAGATGTTTTCCACTAGATCATGTTTTTGCTTTCCATAGCACTAGTTAACGTAAGGTTAGCGCATGAAGAATAACCTCTTCTTTGAAGATATTTCTTTACTTCACAGAGATCCATACACCATGTGCATGCATATTCAACACGCAGACATTGAGAAACATTGTGAGAAAGGCAATATTCTTACAAAGGAAAAAAAACGTGGCTGAATGGCAAAGTAACACTTGTGTTTCTCTTGACAGTTTTGAAAATTCAAGTGGAAGCTCAGGGTGACAAAAACACATCCGTGTCTAATACTTGTGTTGTTTTCATTCCTGGACAGTTACTTCTTGAGCACCGAGAGTTCTCCTAGAGGGAGGCAGTTGTACAGGTAAGCAGGGTGCAGGATCTCTTCTCACAGGTCAGGGACCACATGGCCTTCCAGGCAGCCAAAGAGATGAGAGGACCTTTGACATGGCCAAGGGACAGCCAGCTGTGCATGACAAAACCTCACACTCTTTTTTGCCTCATGGCTCAGGCCTCTGTGAGCATGGGGGTCTATTATGCTTGGAAACGGCCTTTTCCCCTGCTTTTATAAAAAGCTCTTCCTCATCTGATTATACAATTTCAAAGTATTTCTTGAATATGGTGTTTTCTGTCAACTCCCACAACAGATGCATTATAACAGATGCATTTCCCTGAGTGTTTTCCTTGTATTACATCTCATTTTGAATTTCCGGTGAACTGACATGCCATGCATTATTATTTTTCTGATTTTAAAAATTTGATTATTTTTACATAGTTGTCTACAGCAAAAAGGGTCAAGGGTGAGGGGAAGGTGGATGTGACCATTGTTTCAAAATTTTCTTTTTTCTTCTTCCTGTATCTGGCATAAGAGGAGAGATCAGGGAGACGCCATACCCAGCCTCCCAACTGCCCCAATACCCAGGAATAGAAAACAGCCACCCAACATCATCCCAAGATCCCCAGTGCCCAACAAGCTTCAATGGTTCTGCTCAAGTAGTTTCAACAGTTTGTTAATTTTGAAATGCTGTTTATCTTGCCAGTCCAAGGATAAAGAAATCCTTCCAAGATCCACTGACTGACACAGGCCACCTTAGATTCTTCATTCGTCTAGATATTTGCTGCCAACACTTGGCCGGGACAGTTGCCCACCTTCCTCTGCTATGATACTAAATATCTTCTTCAGGCTCCAATGGATTGCCATATCCTCCATGAGCAACTGGGTATCCTGTCCACTGCTGCATTAAGTCACTGAAGTGGCCCATCTTTGACACATGCACTCCACAGTCAGAGCACAGATCCTGTGATTCTCCCCATGTTTGGAGTTCTGAGTCCAGTGGTTCATCAAGGTTCATCCCCAAAGATTTCTGAAGTTATCCCAGACTGAGTATTGTCTGTGCTTTCTATTTTGGGCCCCTTCTCTGTCTGTCCCCCACATCAGCCTATGCAATAGTGGTAGTCCTAATTGCTGGGTCAATTCTGTCTCCAGTCCTGACTCTTATGATATTGGTCAGCCCAATCCTATCCATCACAACTTGGCCCTCATATACACCAGCAGGAGCTGTAGCATAATTGGAACAACCCCCAAAATCCCCCACTAGGACTGCCCCCATTTCTGGTTCCTGTGCTTGCCAGTTTGAGCAACAGACTGGTCCAGTCTGTCCCACATGCCATTCAGCTCTCATATACATCAATGAGCATTGAAGCCTAGATCAACCCAACCAACTTCACTATCCTGCCCATATTCATGCCAGCAGGTGCCACTGCCTGTCTAGCAAGGACTGCCCTTGCACTGGTTCCCATGTTCACCAGTGGGAGATGCAACCCATTAGAGAGGTGTCCACTGCTAGATTCAGATCTTGCAATGCCCAGGTAATTCTGCAATCTAGCTTGACGGGATTTGCCCAGTCCCAGTACTTGGCAAGCTGATGTTGTAGCAAAGCCCATGCTTATGCATGTACCAGTGGGTGCAGTCAGTTAGCCCAGCCTGGCTGTGCACCAAACCCAGCTCACGTACATGTCAACAGGTGTTGTAGCGCTGCCCTGCCTGGTCTGCCCCTGATGCTAATTCTCAAGCTCACCAGTGCGAGCTGTGGCCCAGAAGGGTAGCTTCCACTGTTCCCCTACTGGGCTCACATCCTGGCCCTGGGTCTCACATGCACTGCTGTGTGTTGTGGCTCAGTCTGGCATGTGGCTCAGCACCATTTGCCAGTGGGTGCTATAGCCTGACCCGACCTGTTCTACCCTCAGTCCCAGCTCAAACTGTTGGGTGCTGAAGCCTAGCCTTACCTACATAGCCCCCATACCTTGCCCAAGTGTAACTGCAGGCTTGTCTCACCCCCATCTTGGTTTTCATATCTTCTAGTGAGTGTTATGAACTGGCCCAGCATGGACCCCCACCCCCAGACCTGACCCACACATGTGCCAGCAGGTACCATAATCTGGCCTTGTCTGGGCTACTTCCAGCCTCAGTTCTTGCTCTCACCCTCAGAGACTGCGTCCTGACAGAGGAGTTCCCCAAACGGCTCTATCAGGTTTCTCACTAATGACAGATCTCACCCACACCAGTGGGTCAGCCTTAGTCTACCTCCTGTCCTGGAAGGTACAGTGGCGTTGCCCAACTGGCCAGCATCCATTCTGATTCTTATTGTTGGGTGCTATAGCCCAGTCATATCTGATGCATGCCTGGACACAGCTCTTGTGTAGTTCAACAAGTGCTGTGATCTAAACTAGTATTTCTATACCAACTCTGTCTCTCACGAGCACCAGTGGGTGCTGGAGTCTAGCCTGGTCTGGTGCACCCCAGACCCAATCTATACACATGTCAAGGGACACTGAGTCCTGCCCAGTCCATGTTGCCACCCCCGTGTTCCTGCTCTTGTGCTCACCAGTGGGAATCACAACTCAGATGGGCATTCCCTTAACTCCCCAACAAGGCTTTTATCCAGCCTCAAATCTTGTGTGTGCCATTGGTTGCTCTGACTTAGCTCAGGATAGCTCATCCCCTGTCTTCTCCTTTGTCATAAGATGCTGCAGCCTGATCCATTCTCACCAACCCCAAGCCCCAACTCTTGCTGTGGGTGCTGTGGCCTAGCCCTGCAGTCTGCTCCCATCCCTTGGTTCACACAAACCAGTAGATGTGATAACCTATCCCAGCATCATATACACTCAAACTTGGCTCATGCACATGGCAGTTGGCTAAGGTTGGCCCAGCCTTGCCTGATTTGCCCACCTCCAGAACCACCGCACAGATTAGCTGATGGGTGGAGCTACAAGCCCAGCCTGACCAATGCCCAAACCTAAACCACCTGCTCACCAGTAGGAGTTACAGACCACCAGAGGAATTTTCCAAGTTTCCCCACCAGGCCCACTCCTAGACCCAGATTGCACATGTGCAGCTGGGAGCTAGACCCTTACCTGGTACAGTATGCACCTTCCATCCCAGCTTTTGTGGGACTAGTGGATGTTGTAGTCTGGCCTGACCCATATCCTATTCTTGGATGCACTTGTGGGTGCTACAGCTTGGACCTGCCCTGTCTAGTCCCAACCCCAATACCCATGAATGTTGGAGAGTTGATTGATCTTGCCCAGTTCAGTCCATCACCACCCCAGCTCTTAAACCATCCAGCAGAAATTGCAGTGCCACAGGGGTGAGCCTACAAACCTCCACCAAATTTGCCCCTGCCCCTGGTCCTCTCACATATTTGTTAGTATCATGACCCAGCCTAACGTGACCCATCCCATGTTCTGACACTCAATGGTGAGTACTGTAATTTAGCCCTCCTGTGCAGTCCCCCAGCCCTAGATTTAGTGTGCACCAGTGAGTGGTAGTTTGCTGTTTTCCATGTTAACCAGCCCAGCACAGGTCTTCTACATGGGCTGGTGCATCAGTCTGACCTGTTAGGACCCTCCATCTTCTCCACTCCAAAGGGCCCTGTTTTAGCCCTCTCACTTACCTGCAAGTACAATGAACTTGTCATTGGGAGTCCATCAGAAGTCATTCCTAACCTGCAATACACTCCCTCAGCAGTTCTTCCTCCGCCACAACCTCCTTCCCCTTTCCCTGATTAATCCCACAGTCCATGTACCTGGGAGCACATGAGTTTCCTAGCCCAGCCTTCCAGCTGTGGCATGTGTATTGGCCTGGGACCATATGCCCGATATCCAGGCCCATTCAAATTTTCCTAAGTTCACCATCCCACCAGGCTAGCATACTAACCTGTGCCTATCCCTTACTCTCCTTCTACCCCACCTGGGACAAGTTTTCCTGGAGTAATCATCAGGCTTGCTCTGCCTTCCTGGACGTGAACTCTCAAGTCCCTAAATGCCCCCACTGGTGCTGTCCCATTGGTCCCCTACAAATTCACACCCCAAGGCTCTCATGAGCCAGCCTCTGGCATGGGAATAATTGTGGCAGGGGCCTTTCATGCGCATTATTTACTTTTTGAACAGTATAATGCATCAAGCATCCTTAGTAGAGTGAGTCAGAGCAAACGTTTATTTAATTTTTTTTCTTTTTTTTTTAGTGTAGTTAGCAAAATCTGAAGAGATTGATATTGGAAGATATACCTGATTTATTTCAAGAGTGTTCTCTGCTTTCTTAAATAGAGCATACATGAGAACATATGAATATCTGACCACTTTTTCAAATGCAAAATTATATCCATAAGCTGACTTAAGATCAAACCAACTTAGAATAAGAAAGTCTCCTCACTCAGAAAGCTTCCTCCAGGATCTCTCAAGAATGACTTTTATTTCTAACTGGCATCAACCTTTGAATTCTAGACTTTATATCCACTTTCTAATTTCCATTTCACAGATTTTTTCTTTAATTTTCAAAACTGACAAGATATATTCTCAGTAGGAATTGATCATGTTAGAAAAGTGTCACCACTGAGTCTACAAAATGTATGAAACTCTGACTTCTCCTAATTTACCCAACCACTTTTTGCCTCTTTTTTGTGATTTTTCTTTTTCTCCCAATTTTCTTATTTTTTTTTCCATATTTGAAAGGTAAAAAGAGCTCTCCATCCTCGGATGAATTGTCCAGATACAGCAGTTGGGCCTGGGTCACACGAAGGTCAACCGCTGGAGCTCAGTCTTAGTCTCTCTTGGGGATGGCAGGCACCCTACTGCTGGAGTCAGCAAGTAATGCCTTCCAGGGTGCATGATAGCAGGAAAGCTGGAATCAGAAGCTGGGCTGGGACTACGCTAGGGGATGACCATGTCCTGTGGGGCACCTTTTAAGATGTAGATAATATGTGTCCATAGAGTTTGCTTTCATTCAGAGCAATCTTTATGTTTTTATCATCTACTGAATTATTTTATCTTGCTTAGAGTTTTTCTTTTGCATCACCTGGAACTCATAGGCTCAATGATGATGATTTCTGTAGGAATAGAAACTCTTTATTTTAAGATTGTGTTTGATTTTTGGTATTAAATAAAGGACTGATTTTTTTTTTTCTGGTAACCTGGAGCTCATCTTTCTTCAAACCTATTCTATAATGGATGCTAAAAGCTATGAGCAATACTTTAGAGATACGGAAATACTTGATCAGTGTTTCATTACCCTATTTTAAGCAACTCTTAAAGAAAAATGACCATGTCAGAAGATTAAGCTTAATCAAGTTCAGCAAATGGAATTGCCTCAGTCTCTTTTCCACTTATGAATCTAAAATGTGATTTGAATCCCAATGACTGCTTAGATTTGTGAGCTTGTCTCATCTCTCTAGTGACTGTGTCTGAACAGTCAATATGTCTAGAACCTGTATTAATGTAGCCCATAGTGGTATAAAGAACATGTAGTACCAATAAATTTCTGTTAAATAGCTCATCAAATGCCAGTTGCCCTGACTGTAAGATAATGTTAGTATTTGGCCCAGGAAACTCAATCAGTCTTTTCCAGGCTATAAAAATGATCATTCATTGATTTAATATATGGCATTAGATAGCCCCACAGAATTGCCACCATATCCACAGTGATATATTCTTGACCTCAAAATGTACATTTCTTATTTCAACAGTTTTGAGATAAAAAATGAGGAAATAGGAATATAAAAATCTAGGAAGCTTGTATTGGAAATTTTCATGACTGAGTAGAGAGAAAAGCTTTAAACATTAGTATATCAGTGAACATATATTTGCAACAGAAATGATGTCCAAAATTTTATATATGTTTCATTTCTTATTTGTATTTATATTTATTTCTGTGTTTTAAGGATATTTCCATGTGACCTAATATAGATTATTTGCCTTGACCGATAAGGAGAAATTTGAGTCATAACAATTGATAGTATTTCAGAGGTGAAATCATGACTTTGTAAAAATAAGTTATTTTTTTGTGTGTTTCTGTGGTTAAAAGCTAATGCTTAGCTTTGATTGCTTAAGGTATTTCTTTTACCTGTCTCAGGATCTCACTGCTCTCAATGCCTCCAGAAAAAATACCATGGAAATCTACACAGTGATACTCATTTACTAATATAGCATCCATTCACATTTTATTCCCAATGGAGTTGAGAACATCTCATTCAATCTAGTGATTTGTAAATGCATTTTCCACATTGTTTTCATCCATTAGCCTAGGTAATACTGCATTTAATTTTATTTATGATATGAACATCTCGATATATGAAATTAACTACAAGTGAAGATCTTGAGCCTACCATGTTTAAGCATCATTATCATAAAATAAGGATGATGATCATTTTTATCTTGACCTCTTCAATGTATCAACATATGATTAGCATCATATGCATTAACATACAAAATAACTTTTACTTGTCAGTGGTTTCAGTGCTGGTGTTTGATGGGAAAACTTTAGTGCTTACCCCTAATCCCATTTGTTGTTGATATTTTCATTATTATTCTCCATTTTTATTATTCTAAATTTATTAAACATACATTTGTGAGATAATAATACGATGAATTCACATAAATCCCTTACCTTATTTCCCCTACTAATATTTCAAATTAGTGTATTTGTCAGATAAATGTACCACCACCCAACTTCCCTTCCTTTTTAAAATCCAAACTCTTCTATCCCCTGCAATCAGTATTCTGCAGATGAATTTAGATTTTTATTTAAAAAAAGTAGTTTCTACATATTAACAGGTTGGTTAACTTATCTTTTGTTTATTTGCCTCAACACTGAATTTAAACCATCATGGCTTGATTGCTCATTACTTTATTTCCAGAATCTCTAAACAGTTACCTTCAAAGACCTAAAACCAAAATTTTCTGTAAAGAAAATGCAAGTAATAGATGAATCTCATGTGGAAATCTGTTTTTATTAATTCAGCAATTCTCACATATATATTATACACAGAAGGTATTCATTACTACTGTCTTATTACAGAGAATAACATGTATCTCTTTTCACATGAATAGTGAAGTTGACCTTGCTTGTGTACCATGAGCCATAAACCTGTAAGAAACTCCTGTGCAAACTCTGATAGATGTCTTCAGTTTATGTAGAACTGTTCTGATACAGCAGCCACAGTGAAGTAGATTTGCTCACTCGTATTTTCTCCCCCTAGTGCTTCTACTGAAGGATTATTGAATCGCCAATGCATTTCATGTAATTTTATGAAAGAACAGTGTACATATTTTGATGCCAGTTTTAGTCCCATGAATCAACATTTCTTATTGCACTGTGAAGGTAAGCTTCTATGTGATTTCAGGTTTTCTTTATCCATTGTGTTTGATCAGTATTTATTACTATCATCAGTAAACTTCAAATGTTACTTGAATTGGATTAACTGGCATTCCTTTATTCATATACTTCATTTAGAAATAGAAACGTGGCATAAGTCAATATGCATATGCAATCAATAAGAGATATTCAAACATGAGCATTTGAAAATAAATAAACCAATTTATTTTAGCAAAATCATGTGAAAACAATAAATGAAATTATTTGGCCTTTAGGAAAAGCAATAAACATATTGAAACTGTGGCTTGATTGTTAAGGGATTTAGGATGTATAGCGATTGAATTCTTCTCCAAAGTTCTTTGATTAAGAGCAATTGATTTATCCCGTGGACATAACACTATGCTCTAATCTTACAGGACAGGACAGTGCAGGATGCAGTCATAGAAATAATTTTCCCTTTAATATGTTGCTGTATTTCCTGCACATCACATGGAATTCATGCATCTTCTCCCAATTTGATGAGTTCAGTGCTACTGTGCAGTTGATGTCTTTGTTAAAGACACAAGGGGAAATACAAGAAAATGTAAATTTAGAGTTTCATTTTTCTTGATGCCTGAAATAAAGTGATCAGTAAAGATGAGTAGTTATAGATAATAAGAAAAGAACAAGTACACTTTAGGTAGGGTTCCGTAAAGAAATTAAGGTTCAATATACTTTTTATGACAACATATAGTATATTTTATATAACATGACAACAAAATATCTAGTATATTTTAAGTAATATGATACTGAATAGTATATTCTAAAATCTTATATAGAATTAGCCTCCGAAGTTTTATTTATCACATGCTTGAGATATTTCAAATGTGCATGTTTTCTTTATTTGTTAGACTAGTGGAGGTGAGAATTTCATCTTAGACCTGGCGCAATAGCCTAGCAGCTAAAGTTCTCACCTTGAATGTGCCGTGATCCCATATGGCAGCCCACTTCCCATCCAGCTCCCTGCTTGTAGCCTGGGAAGGCGGTCGAGGATGGCCCAAAGCCTTGGGACCCTGCCCCCGCGTGGGAGACCCAGAAGAAGCTCTGGGCTCCCTGCTTAAAATTGGCTCAGTTCCAGCCGCTGTGGCCGCTTGAAGAGTGAACCATCGGACGGAAGTTCTTCCTTTCTGTCTCCTCCTCTCTGTATATCTGCCTTTCCAAGAGAAATAAATAAATCTTTTAAAGCAACAACAAAGAGAATTTCATCCTGTGTCACCACATGAAGTGTGAAAGGGTCATGAGCACACTTGTGACCAGCAGTGACTGCTCTCTAAAGGACTAGAGGAAAGTCAACACTGAAATATAGGAGATTCATGGAGTGCGGAATCACAACAAAATACAAGAGAGTTTCTTTCACCACACTTTTGCATTTGTGCTTTTTGAATACAGTACTCCCAGGGACAAAAATGAAATATAGGTACTTACTTTCTGTTCTATTATGCTTTAACCATAAATATTTTTCTGCCACGTTCCTTTCCAGGACAGCATTGCTTAGATCTTTTTGAATTGTTTTTGCAGAGGTGATTGTGGTGGCACAGAATTAGACCACCATTTGGGAGCCTCTGTCCCCTATGAGAATGGTGGTTCGAGTCCTGGCCACTTTCAAACTTCCACTAATGTGCCCTAGATGGTGACCTATGTTGGGGGTTCCTGCTACCCCATGGAGACCTGGGTGGATTTCTGACTCTTAGCTCTGCTCTAGTCTAGCCTTGCTTATTCAGGCATTTATCACTTGACCTTGTGAATAAATGTATTTAAAATAAGTTTACATGTGTATTTTCTCAAATTTAGGTCCAAGAGTCCCAGTGGTCAGCTTGCATAGTACGAACAACCCAGCAAGTGAGTACATGAGAACATTGTGATTGACTTGGTCTTAAACATGATTTGTCTTCAAGTGCCATACTCTATACATGTGCCTTCAAGGAATGCCCCACCATGAGCAAAGCTGCGTAAACGCTACACGCTGAGCTATATGTGTGTAAGGAAACAGTAGCATAAGAGGTTTAAATCATGTTACAGTTAGGACTGGGTCTGATGCAACTGTAATATTTTGTGTTCCTAAGTCAGATAAGCAGTAGTTAATTAGATGGGTGTATTTCACCCTACTGATCCCTTAATGCATTGAGTCTTTCTTGGGTTTCATTTAGATTTTTCCCTTCGGAAATTTTATGCATTTTGGTGAAAGATATCCCAAAGTTTTTATTTTGTTTCTACCACTTTTGTTACAGATATTGAAAGCCTCTATCATTTATAAATCTATTCAAAATTCAGAATTCCATTCAAATTTCCTTTTTATTGTGTAGGAATTACTGTGATGTGACACAGAATGATGCTGCTTTGATAAGGTGTGTGTGTATGTGCACACGCACATTTATAAATATGATACTGTTCACAAAAAGAACCACATAGTTTCTTGAACTTTGATCTCCTCCTTTTGCTTTACAATTGCTTGGTCAAGGAGTTTTCAAGCAATATTCTTAAACATACATGGTTTAACAGACCGCTATAATGTAGTAATGAGGGTTATGTTCTCAGACTCATTAAATCATGAGAATGCACCTGCTACAGACACTGTGTTATTATTCCTTTTTTTCAGATGACAAAATAGTCATAGAGACGTTTATTAACCCTGGTTATAGTTATAGCACTAAATGGAAGAGCTGTAGGATCAAATGAGGGAGTCTGACTACAGAATAAAACAGAAATTCTACAATATGGTGGAAACTTCCTCTGTTGAGTTTTCATCTCTTGCATCATATGATAACATTTTTGTAGCAGTACGAAGCTGCATTGATTGTAGAGTCGCTGAAGTTACAAACATGAAACAGCAAATGTCATTTGGAAGAAAAGAGATAAACATTTATATTCCAAAGATACCATTGTATGAAGAATCGGAGCATGCCTTTGAGAAACACATAGTTCTAAACTGATCGTGCGTTTTTGTGTTACTGGAAGAAAATTTAGCACACACTGAATTTACAAGAATTTATCCCTTTATTCATGTCTTCACTATAAACATCACGGTCAACAAATTTAGTTTGTTCAATCTTAAAACAGCAGTATCATTATGATAACAAAAGTTGATTGAAACAATTGAGAGAAAGCTGAGTTTTATAGATGAGAATATATGTGCATAAATGGGCCTAACTTGTGCTTTTATGGGGACATTAGACAAATTAGTGAATTGAAGGATAAATGGGTTTCTGTGCCAACAGGTGAATCAATTTGTAGGCAAAGTAGGATCTATTCATTATAGATAGGGCATTTTCAATGTCTGGCTATGTGACTCACATGGCATATTCTGCCATGAGCAAATTATGATTTTAAAATTTTCCCAACCCGATTTTAAGTTACTTTTATCCTACTGTTACTAGGTAACTTTTTTTCTGATTACTTATTATACAAAGCAGCTCCTCATTAAATCTTTGATATTTTCCAATCAAAAGCCAATTCTAATTATTTTAGGATTAGGAAAGTCAAAAAGCCTCCTGAAAAAATGGCCAGATACCTAATTTCTTTGTCAATGAGCACTATATTATAGAGATAAAAATTTCTGTTTAAATTCAAGTAATTATGCATTAATGAAATAAATACACCTATAAATCACCTGTAACTCATACTGGAGTGACATAAAGTAAATAATAGATGAGGACAAAATGGAAAAAAAAAAAACTTCAGAAGCTTTAGCAAGGGTTGAAAACCTTTTCACCTTTATACAGTCAAAATGCTGTCCTATCATTTTTCCTAAAAAAATCAGTAGCAAAAATATATATTACTAATGCAGAAACAATGTTTCTTCTACAATTTGCAAATAAAGTATAAATATTGGGGGAAAATCTTTTATGTCTGAGCTTTTTTATAGTTTAAACTGAAAAAAAAATCTAAATAGATAATTATACTAAAGTCATTGATAACGGTAAAGGACATACTAAGCATCCAAAGACCAGAGTTTAGAATTAAATCCGGTAAATTTTGCTCAGTGCTCTGGGTAGTATCTGTTTGCCTTGGCAGGCAGGACTACTATCACCTCCACATATTCTGTTCTATGTTTCTCTGAACTGGAAGTATTTTGTGTGGATGACTTAGGTGTGGTTGTCCAGTGGTTGCCGATTTGTTTCAATCTGTTGCAGTCTTGTAAGTAAATGGAGTGGGTAGGATGGGCAGAGGTGATCATGGAGCTTTTATTCCAGCAGCCCTAAGCCTGTGGTGCACTTGGCTGATGGTCAGTGTCTCCTCAATGTCCATGTGGAAGCAACTCCTTGGTGTAGCTACTAACATGCTCATCCCATGGAGGTTTTTATAACTGCTTACTCTTCGCCTAAATTTCGGTTTACATATTGAGTCAAGCTTTGGATTACCAGATTGTCCCTGAAGATTTTCCAATCCATGCCCGTACACCTGCATTTACAGCCTTGTGAGAAAACCATAAGAATGTTTATTCATCTCAAATATTCATTTGAAAAAGAGCAAACTTCGTGTATTTCAGGAAGAATTATAGGAAGCTACTCAGGCTCCCCGGTCATTCCCATTATCCTGCATCTCCTTTCATTGTTACTTTCTTGCTTTTTTTTTTTTAATGTTTGTGAAAATTTCTTTTCACTCCTTTCTATAATCACTGTTGGAATAAACCACAAAATGTAATATTCAACAACTACAATCCATAAGACCACAAGTCCACAGGAGTTGAAACATGGACAGAATCAACACTCAAAGCATTGATGTTCATTTTGTTTATGTATATTGTTATACTTTATATTAACAGCTACATATAAGGCAAAGCATACATTGGCCTTAGGGGCCTGGCTTATTTCATGATGGCTTCCAGTTTCAACCATTTTATGAAGAGAATTCTTTTTTTATTTTTTTAATAGCTGAGAAGTATTTTTGAAGTGCCTGTATACAAACATTTTCTTTATTCCGTCACCAGTTGAAGAGGATCTGGGTAGACTCCATGTCTTGTCTAAGGTGAACTGAGTTACAAGAAACATGAAAATACGGACAACTCTATCATAGGCTGAGTTTATTCATTTGGATAAATTCCCAGAGTAGAAAGGTTGGGTCATGTGGTAGATCTGTTCTCAGATTTCTGAGAAATCCACATTTTTTTTCAGTAATGGTCTTACTAATTTGTATTCCCACCAACAGTTGTGTAGGGCACTTTTCACCAATGTCCTCACCAGCATGGATTGTTTTGGCATGTGTGATGATGGCCATTCTACCAGGGGTGGGTAGAAACTCACTCTGACTTTGATTTGCATTTTCCTGAGGACTAGTGATCCTGAGCAGCTTTTCATGTATATGCTAGCCACTTGAGATTCAACATTTGAAAAATGCCTGTTTATGCCCTTTGCCCATATCTTAACTGGATTCTGTGTCATGCTGCTGTTATGTGGCTTGAGCTCTTTGTAGATCCTGAATTAATCCTGCATATCAGTCTTTTGGTTGCAAATATCTTCTCCTATTCTGTTCTTCGTTTTGTGGCATGTTTCCTTCTAGTAACTTCTTAGCTTAATGTAATCCCACTGGTCTGTTTCTGCTTTTATTGTTTATGCCTCTGGCTCTTTTTTGCAAGGAGCCTTTGTCCATGCTAATATCATGCAGACTTCTCCCAAATTTTCCTCTGATAATTTGATAGTAATAGGTAATAGACTTAGATTCTTAGTGTACTGTGAGTTCGTTTCTGATAAAGATAAGGTAGGGTCTTGTTGACACATGTGCATGTATAAGTTCAGTTTCAAAACAAACATCATTTGTTAAAAAATCTGTCCTCTTTTCAAGACTATTTTTGTCTTATTGTCAAATAATTCGTTATTTATAAATGTCTATGTTAACTTCTGAAGTTTTTGTTCTGTTCCATTGGTCCAGATGTCTTTTTTTTTCTTTCCAGTTATCAGTCTGTTTTGATTAAATCTACCCTGTAGATGTCCTGAAATCTGGAATTGTGATGCTTTTATCCTTGATTTTTCTTAAGATTATTAGCTATTCTGAGTCCATTATGTTCCTATATGAATTTTAGCAAGGATTTGCTAGATGTGAAGGCATTTTGCATGGGATCACACTAAGTCTGTAAATAGTTTTAGACAGTACTGCCATTTTGATTATATTAATTTTTCCATCCATGAAAACAGAAAATTATTTTATTTTGTTGTATGTGTCTTCTACTTTTTTAGGATTTTGTAATTTTCATTTTATATAATATGAAACATTTAAATTTATTCAGAATGATTTAAATCGTGTAGCTATTGTGAGTAGTACTGATCTTATAATTTATTTCTCAGCTAGGGCATTACTTTTTACACAAAGGCTAGGGATTTTTTTTTCTGTGGGTGTTCATTTTATATCGTGCAACTTGTCGAAGCTCAATAAGTTCCAATATTCTCTTACTAGACTTTTAAAATTCCCCTGTATATAAAATTATGTCATGTGCAAAGAAGGATAGTTAGCACTCTTTATTTCCAATCTGCATCTCTTTGATTTGTCTATCATCTGTAATTGCTCTGGCTTAAATTTCTAGAAATGTATCAAATTGGGTTTAGCAATTTGTTTAAGGTTTTTATCAATAAAGATTGTTGTATTTTGTAAAATGTTTTCAGTGTGTCTATTAAAATGTCCCCATGGTTTTTATTCTTCAGCTTGTTAATATGATTTATCACAATTGTTGAACCTTTCATACAAATTGTTCTTAAATCTTGCTTGTGGGCCCGGCATGATAGCATAGTGGATAAAGTCCTTGCCTTGAACATGCCAGGATGCAATAAGTTTGCTGGTTCTTTTCCCAGCGGCCCTGTCATCAGATGGAAGATCTTCCTCTCTGTCTCTCCTCCTCTCTATATATCTGC